TAGTAGATAGATTTGTGATAGTAATCATTACTTTAGTAATCTTGTTATTATAGTAGTTAACTCGAGATTTTTTCATACAAACTTTGGCAGTCAGTAACTTCTATACCCCATTGATTTCGACATTAAGAGAGTAACAAATGTGTAGGTTATCTTCATAGAAACGCACCGGGCGCGGTTTGTATGTGAGCGCGCCAATACGTATACGGCGCGCACGCACTCACTGACAAAATTTAGCGTGGATTAGCGGGGAGCCAGTCGTGGTTGCGCCGAATTTTGTCAGTGTGTGCGTGCGCACCGCAAACGTATATTGGCGCGCTCACATACAAACCGCGCTCGGTGCGTTTCTATGAAGATAACCTACTTATTTGTATTTACTTTGACATTAAGCTTTCGGTGGGATAAAAAATGCATCATAATGAATTTTTTCGGACTATCTCTTTCAACTTTACAGCATAAACGTCCGCCTAGGCGAGTACGACACCCGGTACGACATAGATTGTGTGAACGCCGACTGCGCCCAGCCTCTGCAAGTGATTCCCATAGAAAGCATCCTCGTGCACCCTTCGTACAGCTCCTTCACTAGAAAAAACGACATTGCTCTTATAAGATTAGCCAGACCTGCCATCTATAACGGTACTGATGATTTTTAGGGTTCCGTAGCCAAATGGCAAAAAACGGAACCCTTATAGATTCGTCATGTCTGTCTGTCTGTCTGTCCGTCCGTCCGTATGTCACAGCCATTTTTTTCCGAAACTATAAGAGCTATAGGTACTATTGAAACTTGGTAAGTAGATGAATTCTGTGAACCGCATTAATATTTTGATGCAAAAATAAAAAAATAATAATAAATATTGGGGGCTCCCCATAGTTAGAACTGAAACTCAAAAATGTTTTTTCATCAAACACATACGTGTGGGGTATCTATGGATAGGTCTTCAAAAATGATATCGAGGTTTCTAAAATACTTTTTTTCTAAACCGAATAGTTTGCGACAGACTTCTAAAATAAGAAAATGAAAAATCTAAAAAATACATATGATGTACATTACTATAAAAACTACCAACGAAAATTGTTTTGAACGAGATTAATTTCATAAATCAATGGTACGGAACCCTTTGTGCGTGAGTCCGACACGCACTTGGCCGGTTTTAATTTTTACTGCTTGGACTGATATCTGTTTACCATTTTTGTTGAACTGTACTGTACGTTCATTCTTTTTTTTTTAGAGTTCGTCCGTCCAATTTGCTTGACGAATTCCGACGTTTTGCGAAGCGTGAATGAAGGAGTTAAACTCATCACTGCAGGATGGGGCAGGTGGAATCGGACAAACAATAGTCCCATCAAACAAAAAGTTACATTGCCGCTCGTCAGCATTGAGGTAGGTGTATAACAGATAATAACAGAGTTCAAAATTATACGTTTCGCAAAGGTTGACGGCACTTACAAATACAGTTGTACCTAATTTTTAATAATTAATAGTATTTCAATCTACGAGCAGGGTTTTTTTATTATGTGGACTAGTTATAAACAATTTTGCAACAATATCTAGCGTATCAAGGTCCAACTTCAAGACTATCGGATAAGTCAACCAGAGGCCTGAATATGAGTTTACATCAAACGTAGTCTCTAGTAGATTGTACAGCGCCAGAACAGAACTAAAATTTTCATATATTGTTT